AAACATCAGAGTGAACCCCCATTTCCCAAAGTACCTCATGAAACATTCAACTAAAAGATTTTAACATCAACTGGGTGAACATTCCGTTTTTCTGAGTGGATAAAAATGTTCCGGTCTTCTGCTAGCGAGCAGGCGTACTTTTAAAGTGCATTTCTTCACAATTAGTCATCAAAACGATAGTGTCATTATGGTCATAGGTACCAGATGTGAAAAACGGTCGTGCAGCCCATGAGTGCGGACGGTGTTGACGCTTTGTCACGGAAACAACACTTGGTAATCAGAAGTTATGGGCTCCTCGGTCCAATGCGGAATTACAACTGGACGCGGAAACCGTGTACTAAGAATGATTACGTCGTTCAAAGTATCTTGCAAATACGTATGTCTAGTAAGGATTGAAGTTAAACTGGACAGCGAACAGGAATGTGGGCGCGTAAAACACTTCCAGGTTCGAAGTATCTGAGACAGAATGCAGCACAAAAGATGACCTTGAACGAGGTCTCTGAAGCCACTAAATCCATGCTGATTAGCCGCCCCCGATGACGTCATCCAGCCAGCCGAAAGCCATTGCTAATGTGACGGAGGTCACTCGAAGTTTTGTATGGTAGTTCCGGTGGTCTGAAATTGTTTTCGATCAACAACACATGATGACGTGATGAGCTGAAGCTTGTATCTAGGTCACATCACAGATGGTCCGTTTAGGTCGTTTCGGCGATAACTTTATCGCACCGATCGGAAGTCAGTCGGCAAAGTGTATCCCACTCAGAGCGTCGGTTTGCAGTCGTGTGGAGAGGAGTAAAACGTGAAAAATGACGACAATTCGAGCTTTTGATACACATCTGTCTTGGATGGAAACATGGCTGCATAGCTTGGTGTTCGTTAATGACCTGCGTCAGAAAAACACATTATATGCGAATTATCTGTGTGTTAGTTGCTTGTCGCAATGGCTTCCTTTCTTTCAGAATAGACTGAATTGTTGATTTTGGTTGCTTTTTTGGTGTGCTAGTCCTTATCATTGTTTAGTTGTGTTGGTTGGCTTCGGTTTCAGAAGGTGCAGCTCACTCCCCAGAAAAACCAGAGCATGAAAAATAGAAATTGCTCGAATGTTTTGATGAGTGCGAAATGAGTTGCGAAAGTATTTCTGAGATCCACCGTTTCTCGCCGTAGTTCAGCGTTTTCTACTTCAAGTTCGCCACGATGTGATAATTCGGCGCATGCTGGATCTCTAAATTGCCTGGGGCTCGAGAGGAGACCACCGACGGCCCCAACGTAACCTGCTTTACGCTCAATCACCTCTACATACTGAATAGAACAGGGAGGCATATGTGTATAGGTTTCATCTATCCGTGGGGCTAATGCTTACCAGAAGTTTGATTGACAAGAAGGGACACCTACACCTTTTATTTGCCAGTGTTAACATCAGAATGGCTGTGAAAAACCTTCCTTTTGATAAACGTTAGTCATCATTGTGGTTAAACATTTAGGTCTTCAAGCAGGGTTCTCACTTGAAACGAACTGTACAATAAAGCACGTGAGGGCAGTTTTTAACCCCATAACTTTCACATGGACATGCTATGAATATACGAACCCATAAGTGGTATTCGGGAGCAGTGTTTACCACGGTATTCTTCAGATATTTTACGTGATTCCCAGTCTGCGAGATTTGATCTGTCAGGAATCGAAAAGTTGATGAAACGCGATGTTCCCTTTCGAAATACGCGGGTATTTCCCAATACCAATTTAATAACCTTCATGGTGAAGTGTCCCGTTAATTCAATGTGTTTGGACATCGCAGAACTAAATGAGCTGTTTCTTGAGGGATGCCTAGAGCCCATCGGTTAAGTTTTCACCCAGGGACGAGATCGCCCAGGGCTTAGAGGGCGAATTTACTGACCGGAAACTCCGTGGTTCGAACCCCACCTCTGCCTCTTGACCTCCCCTCTCTAGCAGTATACCAGCCCTCGTTCTTCCTTCGGTTGGCATGTACCGGAATGGTTCTAAAGCTGAACGGTTACCTTTTTCGCCCGTCACCCAGGTGCCTGTGACGCCAGCAGTAAAAAAGACCATGTGCTTTCCAAGTTTTTAATATAGTGCATTTTCCCCACTGGTTTGATATCGCAGTTCAGATTACTTTCCTGCTTAATCTAAACGTAGGTAGCTTCTGTTGTGTAAAGTTAAGTGTCTAGGCCAGTCTACCAATCTGTGATCGCTCTGGGCATACGCTTCTGGAGCCGGAAGGAATTACTTAGGGATTACTTTTCTTGTTTAATTTTTTTCAGAGTTGTCGAAAAACGCTAGTCGACGGTTTAATTTTACTCAGTGTAGTACCTTTGCATAAGACGACCTAACGACGCCGTCTTATCAAGAACCCTAACCGAATGTGATGCTGTCTGCTGGCGATTGCTCTGTGGTTATGGCACGAACTTAGTGGCCAGAATGTCCGTGGTTCGAACCCAACCTCTGCATATAAATTTCTCTGTCTATGGTTGGTTAGCCTGACAGTATCCTAGTCCTCGTGCTTCCTTCGTGGTGCGAAATGAGTTGCGAAATTATTTCTGAGATCCACCGTTTCCCGCCGTAGTTCAGCGTTTTCTACTTCAAGTTCGCCCCGATCTGTTTTCCGCGCATGCTTGTTTTCTAAATTGAGTGGGTGCCGAGAGGAGACCACTGACGGCCCCAGCATAACCTGCTTTACGTTCAGTCACCTCTACATACTGAATAGAACAGAGAGACATGTGTATAGGTTTCATCTATCCATAGAGCTAATGCTGACCAGAAGTTTGATTAGCAAGAAGGCATCTAAACCTGTTATTGCCCAGTGCTAACATCATCAGAATGGCGGATAAACGTTAGTCATCATTGTGGTTAAACATTTAGGTCTTCAAGCAGGGTTCTCACTTGAAACGAACTGTACAATAAAGCACGTGAGGGCAGTTTTTAACCCCATAACTTTCACATGGACATGCTATGAATATACGAACCCATAAGTGGTATTCGGGAGCAGTGTTTACCACGGTAGTTTTAAGATATTTTACGTGATTCTCAGTCTGCGAGATTTGATCCGTCGGGAGACGAAAAGCTGATGAATCGCGACGTTCCCTTTTGGAATATGGGGGTGTTTCCCAATCCCAATAAACTGGCCTTCATGGTGAAGTGTCCCGTTAATTCAGTGTGTTTGGACATCACAGAACTAAGCTCAGTTGGTAGCTGGGCTTCCGTAGGGAGTAGGGCCGAGAGGCGAGAGGTGCAGGGGCTAGATAGCCCAGGGGTTAGAGGGCGAATTTACTGACCGGAACCTCCGTGGTTCGAACCCCACCTCTGCCTCTTGACCTCCCCTCTCTAGCAGTATACCAGCCCTCGTTCTTCCTTCGGTTGTCATGTACCGGGGGTTCTAAAGCTGAACGGTTACCTTTTTCGCCCGTCACCCAGGTGCCTGAAAATAAATGGAGTTGTGACGCCAGCAGTAAAAAAGACCATATGCTTTCCAAGTTTTTAATATAGTGCATTTTCCCCACTGGTTTGATATCGCTTATTCTAAACGTAGGTAGCTTCTGTTGTGTAAAGTCAAGTGTCTAGGCCAGTCTACCAATCTGTGATCGCTCTGGGCATACGCTTCTGGAGCCGGAAGGAATTACTTAGGGATTACTTTCCTTGTTTAGTTTTTTTTTCAAAGTTGTCGAAAAACGCTAGTCGGTGGTTTAATTTTACTCAATGTAGTACCTTTGCATAAAACGGTCTAACGACGCCGTCTTATCAAGAACCCTAACCGAATGTGATGCTGTCTGCTGGCGATTGCTCTGTGGTTATAGCTCTGTGGTTATGGCACGAACTTAGTGGCCGGAATGTCCGTGGTTCGAACCCAACCTCTGCATATAAATTTCTCTGTCTATGGTTGGTTAGCCTGACAGTATCCTAGTCCTCGTGCTTCCTTCGTGGCAACCATACACCGAAAGGGTGTTGCAGGCGATCCGCAAAAATAGTAAGCGGTACTATCACTCTAGTTCAACCGGACAGCGGTGGTTGTCTGCCATTCGTTGTTCCCTGTTAGCACATCATGTACTTACTCCAAGTTCGCACTTCAACTTGGCTTGTAGAAGGCAGTAAACTACACATTTGTATAAATCAAGGTAACTCAAGGTTATATTGGTCTAAAAAGCATTTTGCTTTACAATGACCAAAGGATATTGGTGTGTGTGTATGTATACAGATGAACGGAATGATATGACATATATGTTCTATTGTTTGTAATCTGCATCTCAAATGTTGATGAGGGAAGTTGGGTGAGATCTTATGTATTCGTCAAG